CCCGCACACCTGGTCTGCGGAGACGGGCGGGGCTTCGTTTTGCCGGCAGGCGCGTAGGATTTGGCGCATGGTCGGAGGACGGCAATCGACAACCCAAATTCGCGGACGAGCAACTCGCCTCTGAAAATGACAACTGTCTCGAGGATTTTGGGTTTGGGTGGGTGCGTAATTGGTGGCTGCGAAAGCCTGAACCCTAAAAGGAGTGGGTGTGTGCGAAACCCCGAACCCAAAAAGGAGGGCTACGAAACTCTCGAATCCTGAAAGGAGTGGGTGGGTGCGAAACCCAAACCCGTGCAAAACCCGAAACCCTAAAAAGACTGGGTGCGTGCCAAACCCTCAACCCTCAAAGGAGTGATTGGATGCGAAGCCCTAAACCCTAAAAGTGTTTGGGTGGGTGCGAAACCGTCTTCACTGAACATTCTGCACTTTTGGTGGGATACCGTCAGGCACATTTCCAGTCTCGGGCAGTTCAAGTGCCGGGGCTGGTGCCGCTTGCGTCCAAGGCACGCTTGCCGAATTTAGGCTTCACAGCAGACGTTTCGCATAGTTTTCAGAATGCTCGGGAGCAAGTTAAAATGCGGCTGCGCTGATCTCTGAGTTTCATGCCTTCAAGTTCTTCAGTTTCCTGTTTCGATTCACGTGCCAGGCTTTGCTATGGTGTACAGCACTTCAGCTGCCCCAATGATTGGGGTGACCAGCGGCATGCAGGTCAGGGCAAGCAGGATTTGTTCAATTTTGCAACGTTGTCCGATTGCACTGAGGCTAGTGAGACTTGCCCGCTTTCAGCCGATGACCCAGTGATTGGGATGACCGATGGCACCAGGCAGGGCAGGATTTCTGCGATGAGGCCAGCGAGACCACCTTGCCTTCAGCCAGTGATCCAATGGCTGGTGGGACCGACAGTACGCAGGCCAGGGTAAGCAGGATTTCTGTTTAATTTTGCAACGTCGTTTGCTCGCGCCGAGGCTCGTGAGACTCCCGTGGCGCCAGCCGATGACCCTATGACTGAGGCGACCCATGATGGTATGCAGGCCAGGATAAGCAGGATTTCTGTTCAATTTTGCAACGTTGTACACTCGCGCTGAGGCTAGTGAGACCACCCTGCCTTCAGCCAGTGATCCAATGGCTGGTGGGACCGACAGTACACAGGCCAGGGTAAGCAGGATTTCTGTTCAAATTTGCAACGTTGTACACATTCGCGCTGAGGCTAGTGAGACAACTCTGCCTTCAGCCAATGACCCAATGCCTGGGGCGTCCAACAGTACGCAGGCCAGGGTAAGCAGGATTTCTGTTTAATTTTGCAACGTCGTTTGCTCGCGCTGAGGCTCGTGAGACTCCCGCGGTCCCGCGGCGTCAGCCGCTAGGCTCCGTGAATGTCTCCAGGCGCCTTGGGTGACCTTGTATTGGACAATGTGTCATGTGACAAGCGCCATATTTCAAGCATCACGCCAGTTCATAGAATGCACAAGCATCAGACTATGCCTTTTCCGAATCTTTGGCTGCAGATGGCGCATCATTTTCTGGCCACTACTGACACTACTGAAATCGAGCAGCTTTGAGCTGTGTAAGCTCCAAGATTTGCAAATCCTTTTCACTGGTTATCCGGCTCTCGAGCCTAGACTGTGAAGACTTCCTTGCAAGGGATTCCTTGCAGTCCGGAGTTTCACCAGGGGTTTTCAGCAACAGCAGCCAGCAAAACTTGCCCCTTACCAGGCTAGTCGGAAGGTCCAAGCCCTACCAAACAGAACCTACACAGCACTTGCTGGCTGGTTGCGGGCGAAATTGGGAGCTGCTGTCTGTTCTTGCATTGCGGCAGGGTAACATGGTTTGCACGCTGTTCGCTGCTGCTGTGGACATGGGGCTGCCCCGCAGTGAACCGAACAGCTTTTAACTCAAGCTCAAAAACAGGTGCACTGTTTTGGGCATTGGCCTTCTCCTTCTCCTTAGCCTCTTTCTCTTTTTTCTTCTTTTCATGATCCCGAAAAGAGTGGGTGGTTGCGAAACCCGGAACCCTAAAAGGAGTTGGTGGGTGCGAAACCCTTGGGCGCACCGACCACTTTGGGCGTAGTAGTAGCAGTAGCAATAGCAGTAGTAGCAGTAGTAGCACTAGTTAGCAGTAGTAGTAGTAGTAGTAGTAGCAGCAGCAGCACTAGTAGTAGTAGTAGTAGTAGCAGTAGTAGTAGTAGTAGTAGTAGTAGTAGTGGTAGTAGCACCACCAACAAAAAATACTAGTATCGGTACTAGAAGCAGTA